CCCCATCTTAATCTTACTCTCTTATACCTCCCCCTTCAGTTTCTCTTTTCTACCATAGTGGAAAAGGTTCTTGCCCCTACAAGGCACCTGTCTTCACCATTCTGACTCTACCTTTTGCTTTTTCATTCTTTTTCTATATACCCCTTCCTTACTAACTTCAAATATACATTGACTTCCCTTATTTGACTCTGCTAAACTATCCTCTTCCTGAGAGTAAGTAAATCCCTTAAGGTTCTTTATATTTAATTCATACATATGTGAAAATGCATTCCAACTACTGCTTCTCTTCCAATAGTAGGTACTCTGGTACCCTGGAGACAAAGTAGTGATAAAGACACAAATGCAGATTCTAGGAAGTGTTAGGTGCGGATCCAATGATGTGAAAAAACCCTAGGGAACTGAAGGACAAGCTATGAGGCTCTACAAACAGTAACCTATTGTTGCTATCCAGAATAGAAAACGATTCTGTTCAGCAGGATGAAAAATATTGCAAGTATGATAAAATAAAGGAAAGAAGCACACTGTCTCCGGTGGCTCTGAGCAACTTCCTTTGTATTTTGTTACCAGCTCACCAGAACGTCCGAGGGTTATGTTCTCTGTGTGTAAGCACCTCAATCAGTGGTCACGGCAGAACCCCATGTCTATCTGGGGCAGCAAAAACAAGCAGGTCACAGCTGGCAAGCAAACACACCAGAGAGAGACAAACAATGACAAGACAAAGGGCTACACACTCAGATTCATTCTACATGTTTCAAGTTGCTACCAAGGACTTCCCTCTTTCCCTGCTTCAGAGGTTTTAGAATCACAATGCAGAAAACAGAGTCAATCAAATATTTAATGAATAAAGCACTGTCATAATTGATGTATGAAGAGAGAAAGTGTCAAGTTTCCAGCCTAAACTCCTGCCTTGGGTAAGAAGAATATCACCATTCCTTCCCCAAGTTCTTGCTCTCTTGTCTGAACTGCCTAAGCCTCTGAAAGGACTCTACTCTGAGGCCATACTATTGACACTGATAATTTTTTCTAAAACTTTCCTTTAATGATTAACAAACTTCCCACTAGTCATACCCTCTCCATCCCAGGAATTTGAAATCATTTAAACCCTATTCCCCACTCCCCACTACCTGATTCCTTACTCAACCCTTGCCCCCGTCATACCCACCAAAGCTACCCAACTCTTTCACTGTGCACTCTGGAATGCCTACTCCATAGTCAACAAACTTGTTTTCATTTTAAATCTTTTCCTTTCTTACTCCTTCCACCTTCTGGCCCTTACTAAGACCAGACTATCTTCTGATAACACAGCCACCCTGGCCACCCTTTCCAGCACTGGCTCTTCTTTCCCTCATTCCCTCTTCCTCATTGGCCAAGGTTGGAAAGTTGGGATACTCTTTGCTTCCCATTGCCACTTCCACGTTCTTCTTCTACCACCATCACTCAGTTACCTCTCCTCCTTTGAGATTCATTCAACTGCATCTACCATCCAAGCAAAATCCTGGGAGCTGTCATCTAAAGACCTCCAGAACACTCCTTTTCTTCCTCAGTGAGTTCAGTACCTGCTCACAATCTTTCTCTCCTGTCCCTAAATCTTGCCTTCATACTAGGAGACTTCAAAACACATACACAGATAGATAAAGAGACAGACAGATACTTCTTCAAATATCCTAACCTCCTAGTTCCTCAACTTACTCATTTCCCATAACATACTCTTCCACCCCACCTCAGGCACACCCCACAACTGTCATACCGTTGATCATGTCATCACCTACAAATGTACTACTTTACATGTTTGTGAACTCTGAAAATTCCCTTAACTGATCACAATTTATGAGCACTCTACCTCTCTCTCTGTTTTCCCATATGAAAGCCTGCCCTTTGTCCACAATCCTTTGACTCCCCTCAGTTCTGTTCCAGGCCATCTCCCCTGCACTATCCTCCTTTTCATCCATATTAACCCCTTACTAATCCAGTTCAAGTCTACTCTGTCCTTTTCGTGAGTTCCTTGCCCTCTTTTCATAACACCAACTATGCCCTACTATGCCTCTGCTTTGGATCACCCCTACTATCCATTATCTTTGCTTCTGCAACTGTGCTAAATAAAAGATAGAGAAAATCACACAACTTTTCTGCCTGAGTCCATTACAAATCTATGTTACATAACTTCAACTGGGCTGTCACTGCTGCTAAGAAATCCTTTTGCATTTCCCAAATTAACTCATTATCCTATTCACCACAGCAGCTCTTCCAAATCTTTTCATCCCTCCTCACACCTTCTATCAGTCCCTCTTCCCTTCTTACTCTCAGATGAGAACCTTGCCTCATATTTTATAGAAAAAATTGAAGCCATTCTCCCTGAGAGCTCCATTTTCTCCCCTCCTTATCTCACATCAACCAAATGCCTTCTGTCAGCCCTAATGAGAGGCCCTTCTCTTTGCCAGGGTAAAGCCCACCACAAGCATAAGTGAAACCATTCTATCCCATCTTCTACAGCAGATTGCCCATGCAATTGTCCTCAGTCTCACTTATCTTCAATCTCTCCCAGTTTACTGTCTACTTCTCTACTGCCTAGAAACATGACCATATGTCCCCCATCCTCAAAAATCCCCCACTTAATCCTTCTATTCCCATTAACTATCATTTCATATCTCTTTTGCCTTTTGTGGATGAACTCTGTGAAAAAGCCATTTACATTGAGTAAACTTCCTCTTCTCTTATTCTCTTAATGCTCTATAATCTGGCTTCCAACCTCATCCTTCAACTAAAAATGCTGTCTGAAGATGTCCAGTGATCTTGTAAGTCAAATTCAAAGGCTTTTTCTTAATTCTTATCTTTCTTGACTGTTCTGTAGCTTCTGACATTGTTGATAATCTCTTCTCTCCAGGTTTTCAGAGCACTGCTCTCTTCTAGTTCTCCTCCTTCCTAACTGGCTGCTCTTTCTCTCATCCTTTGCTGGACCTTCATCCAGATCACATACTAATCATGGGTGTTCCATGGGGTTTTGATCAAGACACCCTTCTTTTTTTCCTTCTATACTACTTTACTTGGTGATCTCCTCAGTTCCCATAGATTCCATTATCATTTCTAGTCTGATAATTCTCAGATCTAACAATCCAGCCCTGATCTCTTTGCTGACATCCAGTCTCCATGTGCCTATTAGACATCTTAAAATGGATGCATTTAGATAGGTCCAACCATGTGTCAGACACACACACACACACACACACACACACACACACACACACACACACACACACACACACACAACCCTCCCCACTGAATTCCAATAGTTCCTTATCACCTCCACGATCAAATACAAATCCTTTGTTTAGTATTTAAAAACTTTCATAATCCATTTCTTGTTCACCCTCCTCATTTTTCCCATCTTCTTCCATGTTACTCCCCTACATTCTTTGATCCAGTTACACTGGCCTCCTTGCTGACAAACAAGATAATCCTTCTCCTGGCTCTAGGTATTTTCATTGTCAGTTCTCCATACTTATCTCCACCTCCTCAAGTCCCAACTAAAACCCCACCTTCTACAGGAAGCCCTTTTCAATCCCTCTTAACTCTAGCGCCTTTTCTCTGATATTTCCTATTTATCCTATATATATGTATATATTTGTTTGCTTGTTGTCCCCTCTATTATACTATAAGCTCCTTGAGGGGAGTGACTATCTTTTGCCTCTTTATGTATCCCTAGAGTTTAGCACAGTGTCTGGCACATAGTAAATGCTTAATAAATGTTTATTAACTAACTAATCTTAAACTTAACACGTTCAAAACGGAATTCATTATCTTCTCCCCAAACTCTCTCTTCTTCTACATTTCCCTAATACTATTGAGGGCATCATCATTCTCTCTTCATTCTCAGGCCTACAGAGCTTACCTTTGTAGCATCTCTCAAATTTTTCCCCTTCTCTTCTCTGATACTGCCACCAAACTAGCGAAGGCCCTCATCTCCTCAGTCCTGGACAATTGCAATAGACTATTTGGTCAACCTGTCTATCCCAAGTCTCTCCCCACTCCAATCTATCATCCAATCAAAGTGATCTTCCTAAAGTGCAGTCCAACCATGAAACACCCTCCTACCTCCCACTAAACTACAATGGCTCCCCATCACCTCCAGGAGCAAATATAAAATCTTCTGCTCTGTGTTTAAAATCCTTCACAACCTACCATCTCTCCATCTTGAATCTTTCCATTCTTCTTAAACTTTATATCCCTCTTCCTGACAATGTACTCTTTGATTCATTAACACTGGTTTCCCTGCTATTCTTCAAACAAGACACTATACCTCAATTCTGGTCATTTTCTCTGGTTGTTCCTCATTCCTAAAATGCTCTCACAATTCTCATCTCTACCTCCCAGCTTCTCTGGCTTCCTTCAAGTTCCAGCTAAAATCCCATTTCTGCAGGAAGCCTTTCCCAATCCCTCTTATGTCTAGTGCCTTCTGCTAGTTGATTATTTTCTAGTTATCCTGTATACAGATAGTTTATACATAGTAATTTACATGTCTCCCCCATTATATTTTGAGTTCCTTGAAGGCAGGGATTGTCTTTTACCTTTTATATGTATCTCCAGGCCTTAGCACATTATTTATCACGTAAGAAGTTCTTTTTTTTTTTTTTTGGCTAGGCAATGAGGTTAAGTGACTTGCCCAGAGTCACACAGGTAGTATTATGTGTCTGAGGCTGGATTTGAACTCAGGTCCTCCTGACTCTCCATCCACTGCGCCACCTACCTGTCCCCAGCACATAGTAAGTTCTTAATAAATGTTCATTAACTGACTGATGTCAATAAATACTTCCTGAGAATTGACAACTGCCCTGATGAGCCTATAAGATTTTTTCAAAAATATTTTTATTGATATAACTAAGGCACACATTGATTATGTGACTTTTTATAACACAGATGCTGGAAGCTTCTTAAAACCTCTTTAGGATCTGCTGTTATTAACATAAGCCCCAGGAAAAGAAAGATTAAAAAACAGAATCTCTTACCTAAAGATATGGCAGAGTACTTCATGTGAGAGCTGGTTCATGTAATCTTTTGTTTCATCTGACTTTGTCACCTCAGGGTTTTCCTTACTTGGCAGACATGGTTTCACAGTTTTTCTTCGTGGGCCCATCCTTATGATGACTCCAGGAGAAAATGACCAATTGCAACTTGGTTACTTGAGTTCAAAGTTGCTAAAACAAGCAGAAGTGAGAGAATTGAAGAGTTAGGACCTAAAATCAAGCCTTGTAAAAGAATTCTTTTCATGAGGACATTCAAACAAAGTGACTGGAAGTTAGCTTGTAAAATATCTTAGTATTTTTGGGAGCAAACACCAACGAATGACTTTTATAAAACTAGCTCTGTTTAGCACAGAAAGGAGCAGGATTTAGTTCAAAAACTAGACTGGGAGTCAACAAGGTCTTGATTCTTATTCAAAGTCTTCTGCTAATTAGCTATGCAGCCTTGGATAAGTCACAAGACCTCTACTGGGCTCCGTTTTCTCATCAATAAAATGAGGGGAGAAGAGTAGATGAGCTTCCTTCCAGATCTACCATTTGATGACTTGAATCCTAGCTGAAGGCTACAAAACTGAAAACAGCAGCTGCTCTGTCTGATGCAAAGAAGGAAAATAACAGCAAAATAAAGACACACAAAGTCAGATGGGAATATCTTTCCAGGGCATTTCATATGTACAAGTGTGTTTATAAGTGTTTATAAGCCAGGCATCATTGAATCGCTAATATTAAAACTACAAAGACCATTACAGAACATCTTCTAGCCTAACATCAATTTAAGAGACAAGTAAATAAATGTTCAGGAAAATTAAGTGGAGCAGACATCAAAAAAGAAATACAGACATTTGTACAATCATTGATTTCAGTTATTCTCATGTAGAATGCATGCTACTAAAGAGGCAGAATGGACTTGGAAGACGGACACCTGGGACTGAATTCTGATTCTACAATTTAAGTCTGGCAACTCAGGACAAACTACTGAAACCCACCAGAGCCTCACTGGTCACCTGTAAAACCAGAAGGATAATACTGGACTACATTTAACTCACAGATTTACGAGGAAAGCACTATAGAAATAAGTGCAGTTACTATTATGTGCAAAGTCCCTAGATAGAGGTGGTAGAGAAACAGAAAGAAGTGCAAGACACAGCTTCTAGTGCAAGGACCTTAAAATCTAAGATTAGAGACAAGACAAAAACATGCTGAAAGTTGACTAGCAGATCAAGAAAACCACAAAATAGATTTTTATCAACATTAGCTTAAGCTACCTAGACAATGACAGTAAGCACTTTAGGAATTCAGAAGGGAGAGACCTCTTTAGATCGAGGGAAGATCTCTCTCTTCAACATTTCTTTTATCCATCCCCTCCTCAGAATGCCATTACCACCTTCTTTTTCTTTAAAAACACATTTAATTAACAAAAAGTTATTTTCTCTTTCTTCTGCCCATCAATAAAAAAGAAAAGAAACCCTAAAAAACAAAATTATTTTAATAAATCTATATAACCAAGGAAAAATTCCCTCCCTAGCCAAGTCCAAACATACACACCTTGTACTGTACCCAGAGCCCACTGCCTTTCTATCAGGACTTGGGCAGCAGGCTTCATCCCAGTCCTCTGGAATTGTGGTTGGTCAACGTGTTGATAAGTTACTAAATCTTTACCATCTTTCATGTGAACTACTGCAATAGTCTAATTGTTTCCCATCTCACATCTAACTTACAAAGCATTATCAGATTGATCATCCTAATACAATGATCTGATCATGTTATTTCCCTACCCCACAAATTTCTCCAAGCTCTCTATTATCTACTGTGTAACATCTAAACACATTAGCCTAGAATCCCAGGCTCTCTACTATTGGGATCCAACCCCACTTAACAAATTAATTTATATTAACTATTCCTCTTCACATGTCTCTTTCTCTTTTTTTTTTTTTGGCAAGGCAGTGGGGTGAAGTGACTTGCCCAGGGTCACACAGCTAGTAAGTGTCAAATATCTGAGGCCAGATTTGAATTCAGGTCTTCCTAACTCCAGGGCCAGTGCTCTATACACTGTACCACCTAGCTGCCCCTAACATGTCTCTTTCAATTGAAGTCCTAACTATCCTTCCAGGTCAGTTCAAATTCTACCTTCTTATGAACCATCTCTCTTGCCCTCAGAGGATATGACCTTTCCCTCTAATCAAATCACAGAACTTTCTTCATGAACTTTCATACTCTATAACCCTATCCGTTCTACCTACTGACACAAGCCTCATTCTTCAAAGCTCAGTTTAAATGCCACATCTCTTCTGAGGCTTTTCTTGAATCTCATCCACCAAGAAGTAATAACTTATCACATATAAATATGGTCAATCAGTCAGTCAACAATAAGACAGCTGGTGGCAAAGTGGATAGATCACTGGGCCTGGTCAGAAAGAAAGGAGTACAAATCTGACCTCAGACACTTAGTAGCTGTGGGATCCTAGGCAAGTCATTTAATTTCGTTCAACCTCACTTTCCTTAACTGTAAAATGGGGAAGATACTAACACCTACTTGCAGGGCTGTTGTTAGCATCAAATGAGATGTTTTTATAAACGGTTAGCATAATGTCTGGCACATAGTAGATAATATATAAATGCTTATGTCCTTCAACTGGCATTTATTAAGCACTTACAATGTATGAGGCACTGATGATAAAAAGAAAAACAAAAACAAAAACACAGTCACTGTCCCTATATTCTAATGGAGGAGAAAATACATAAACAACTGTGTACATACAAGATACATACAAGTATAAATGGGAGGGAATCTTAGTGGGAAGGCACTAGCTTTGGGGAGGGACAGGAAAGACTTTGGGTGGATGGTAGGACTTGAGCCGAGTCTTAAAGGAAGCCAGGGAGGCCAAAAGGCAGGTGACGAATGAAGAACATTCCAGGCACGGGAGACAGCCAACTAAAAGCCACAGAATGAGGAGCAGTTGTATGAGAAATAGCAAGAAAGTAAACACTGCTTGATCACAGAGTACCAGCAGGAGCAGTAAGTACAAGAAAACTGGAAAGGTATGAAGGGGCTAGGTTGACAAGGACTTTCCAAATCAAACCGAGGATTTTATATTTTATTCCAGAGGTAATAGTAATATGGAGCTACTGGAGTTTATTGAACAGGGGAGTAACACTGTCAGACCTACACTTTAGAAAGATTATTTTAGTAGCAAAGTTGAAGAATGGCTGGAGTGGGGAGAAATCTGAAGCAGGAAGACCAATCAGCAGACTATTACAATAGTTCAAGTTCATCAGTATGATAGTTGTGTTAAGTGGAGAGAAGGGAACCTGTATCAGAAATGTAACAGAAGAAATGACAGGATTTGGTAAGAGACTGGATATGTAAAGTGAATGCATGTGAGGACTCAAAGATGACACCAAGGTTGAGAGCTTAGGAGGATGGTGGTACCCTCAACGAAGTTCAGAAGAGGGGAGGATTTAGGGAAAAGATAATGAGTTCTGTTTGAACATAATCAATTTAAGTTGTCTACAGGACATTCAATTTGAATTCAAATCCATCAGTTGGTAATATAAGAGCAGAGGTAAGGAGAGATTAGAGCTGGATAAATGTATCTGAGAATGTTTTATATAGAGATAAAAATGGAATCCATGTAAGCTGATGAGAGAGAGAGAGAATAGAGAAGAGAAGAAGGCACAAGGCAGACCCCTGACAACATGACAGTTATTAGTGTGAACTGGATGAAGACCCAAAAAAAGGTCAGAAAGGTACAATAACCAGAAGACAGCAGTGTCATTTAAAAAAAAAAAGACAGAATATAAAGGAAAAGGAGGTGATCAAGTTTTAAAATTCGAAGACTCAGGTCAAGAAGGATGAAGATTGAGAAAAGACCATTAGATATGGCAATTAAGAGATCACTAGTAATTCTGGAGAGAGCAGTTTCAAATTGAATAATTAAATCAATCAAGAAGGACAGTGGCTCATTTATCTTTTTATCACCTTCAGTGATTCACAGTACATATGTTTCAAACACATCACAAGATCATAAAATCCTGATTTGTGAACTTACTACCTTGCCTAACCTCAGGGTAAATCACATCCCCTTTCTGGAACTGTTTCATATAAACTGAAGGGGTGGAATGAAATGATCTCCAATACTATCTTCCAGAGCTAAAGTATAAGATTCTATGAGCTATTCCATCAGTATGAATACTGTCTCTACCACCGGGACAACCCCCACCTCAACTTGGTTGATTAACTCCTGCATGAAATATTAGCTTGCCCCACCTCCCTCATCCCACCCCCCAAAAAAAGCCACCAACATATACCAGCTTGGCAATGAGCCTCTCTGCATCTTGCTAGGAGGATAAGCACAAAGTTCATTGCTAGGCATGTAACAAAGTGTTTCAGCTTGGAAGGACCTGTCACAACTTGGGATTCACTAGCATATCCTTCAAGATCCCAGGTTCACTTCTAATGGCAAGTATACTGCACATGGTAGTCTCTAATGTTTTCTAAGAGTTTATATTTTATCTGGGGGTAGGGGAGTGAAAAACAGTAAAGTGATCAAATAGTTAAAAGGAATTCAGCATAAATTAACTAAAACAGCTGGAAATTATAATCTTTTTATTATTAATTAGTCTACCAATAAAAATGCATCACTGGTATCCTCTTTTGATTGTTTAATGGCCAACAAAATAATACTTCTTGCACAAAGAGTACCAAGCAATACAAAGACTGAGCTAGAAGCTACAGCTTCCTGACAATTAAAGAGACTCACTTCTATAATATGTTGCTCTTCATGTCAAACCATCTTGTTAATTTTCTTGTTGTAATAAAGGCAAGTACTAATACAAGCCAGTGTATAAGGATATAAAATTCATGACCACAAAGGGATTTTGCAAGGTATGTCCATAGGCATTTTCTAATCTGGTATGTAAACAAACTATTTGGTCATTTCTTTTCCATCAAGGTCACCTGGGGGTCAGAGTTGTGACAAGTTTAAGTGACAATTTTTAATCAATGAAAAACATGTTTCCTGAATAAGCAAAATTTTGTTTCCAAGTTCTTACTGAATGTTAGCACACTGCTTACTCAATAGCTAACATTTCTATAGTGCTTTACTGTTTACAAAATATTTTCTTCACAACAGTGTAAGATATGAGTGGTATTATCTCCATTTTACAGAAAAATA